CCACACCCCCACCCCGCCTCTGTAGCCACAGCCTGATTTTGTTCCCATTGAGGCTTTTCTGCCACGGAGCGTTTCATTCTTAACCTGGGGGAGGTTTAAAAATAACTGGGGATTCTTGCTCCTTTTTTTTTTTTTTTACTTCATTCTCCCTTCTCTCCTTCATTCACTCACTCCTCTCTTCTTCTCCTCCACAGTGATCTCTGCTCCGTATTTCTCCTCCACTCTTTTGTTCTCTTGCTTCGCTCCAGTTCTATTTTTAGCCATCCCCAGGATCCCTCCCTACCCCACTTCACCCTCCTTTCTCCATGTTCGTCATCACCCCCTCCTCTTTGCATCCCCTCATCTTTTTTCTTTTTTTATACCCCCCCAGCTCTTTGCAAGAGAATGTCCTCCACCATTTTTTTATTAATCTTTCACCCAGCCTTGCTTATAAATTCCTGATTTACAACAAGGCGTATGTGTAGACCACCGCTGTACATTGTTTCGTCATCATTTTAAGGTCTCCACTTCCTTTTTTTTGGGGGGGGGGGGGGTTCAGTCTTTTTCCCTCTCGCCATCCTCCCATCAATCAAGGAGGGGCTGAGGGTTAATGGGCAGTGAATGTTTAAAAATAGCCCCTCTTCCGTGACGAGGTGAAGACAAAGCCTGAACACCAGAAAAACATCTCGTGCTTCAGCCTCCTGCTTGGTTTCATCAAATCCATTTTTCTCAAAAATAGAAAGTCTGTTCAGCTCATCTGGTCTGATTTGACGGCATAAAAATATTGATTAGAGGCTAAAATCATTTGTAGGAAATTGTATTATTTTTACATCAGCTTTTAATGAAGTTAGTAGTGTGAACTTGATAGTCCTTTGTTTAAATACACTTCTTTCATATTTACTTTCTACTGTTTTTGTATAATCTTCAACGTTAAGTTCTATAGTTCAAACTATTTAAATTGTAACACATCTACTCCCAACCTGTTGCTCTTGTATTTTTGTATGTGTTACTGCTGAGAGGCTCAGTAGGTGAATTATATTGCAAGGTGTGTCCCTTAACACATTTGCTTTGTCTGGCTTAGCTCCACATCAGGGCGTCGATGAAAAGTGGCCAAACTGGATGCAAATCATGTTTTCTTTTCTTTTTTTTTCCTCAGAAAGTTATAGAATGTTTGCGTGAGTGCTCAGATTTAATTTAATGACTGAGAATCTTTTATTTGAAGCATTTAAACCAAAAGAAGTGAAGTTTAGATTACAATTTCAAACTTCATCACTTCAGGTGTTTTGTTTTTTTATATAAAGACGTATTGACCCAGCCTGTGCTGCTTTTGTCCAAATAACCAAAACTGACCATTTTGTGCATTTTTTTTTTTTTTTTTTTTTTTTTTTTTTTTTTTTTTTTTTTTTTTTTTTTTTGCTTTCACTCTAGTTGTGACGGGAGCCACAGATGGGATCGGGAAATCCTACGCAGAGGAGGTAAGACTTGTGGACCCCCTTTTTTTCCCCATTTAATGTATTTTCTTGATAAATCTTATCATGTTTGCTCATAGGCCAGAATAGAAGAATATTTAGAGAAACCCATCAATGTTCACACACTTTCAGAAAGAAAGACCGTCAACACGTTTCATTAAAGAAGAACCCGTCCAGAGGACCTATACAATTTTTTTTTCCTTTTCATATGTAGCTACTTAATGCATTCAGATGATCTGGGGGTTAAACCTTCACTGCTGTGTATACTTATCATGTTACCATCAGTAGTTGCAAACAAAGTTTTGACATTTTGTCGATCCTAAAGTTGAATTAAAACCATTATTAAGCTGACCACAGTGAACAGATCACGACCAGATTTTTTCCCCTTTTCTCTCTTCTAGCTGGCTCGTCGAGGATTTGCCATGATGCTAATCAGCCGCTCACAGGAGAAGTTGGATGATGTAGCCAAGTCACTTGGTGAGTGTGTGTGGTGTGTGTGTGGTTTGTAATAAAGGGTGTTGGCTTCCGCAGCATTACAGATAAGTGTTTGGAGCTGATTCCCAGTAAGTTCCCATAAAAAGTGAACCTATTTGTATCCACCCTTTCTGATTCTTATGGTGATTTGTTAGATTGTTTTGTTTACATTTGTCACAATGAGCTGAAAAACATTTTACTCTTGTAGAGTATGTCCCTCTGGGTGGAGAACCAGAACTTCCATCTATTTTCTTAGCTTTACCCACTTTTTCTTTCTGGGTCGAGGGGAGCTGGGCATACGGTCACTGTGTGGGAGATCCAGGTTTTCCTCGTGGACCTGTTGCCTCTGCACCCTGACCACAAATGAGAGCAGAAAAATGGAAAGTATTGCTGCAACAGGTGTTCACATGAAGTTATTTTATATAGATTATGGATTTTGTACATTGATCAGGTGCAGCTACTTTGTTGTCTGCAGGACTGATTTAATGCCTTTTGTCTGCTTAAAAAAAGTCCTCTGGAGACTCTGCTTAGGGATGAATCGGGTTTTACTCATTGAAGGATTGAAGTCGTAGTAACCAGCCTTCATGTGACCGGGAGCAGCTTCCATCCACCTCCAATCTGGCTTCAGATTTTTAGCACAGTCTGAACAGTGAGAGCGTACAACCCCATCCCTCTGACTGTGGCCACTTCCACAACTTGGTGTCTCTTCCGTCTCTGTCTGGATGGTGCCCACAGAGCCATTTTTAACTTTTATTTTTTTTTATTTTTCCCCCTGTCGTGCTTCAAATCGAAAGAGGGGGGGCTGATGGATCACGAGCAGGGAGCAGCTTGCCAAACTCTGGCACTCCTTCCTCACGATTAGTCTGACAAACCCGCCCTCTTTGCCATGTAACCTGGCAACTCTCTCAGTCCCACCTAGAATTTCATCTTTCTGCATGCTTCACTCTCCATTTTATATTTTTTACCTTCCATCCAATCATATGCTTAGAATCTCTGCTGAAGTACTCCTCCAGTGGAGCAGCCAACATCACTGTTTATCATACCTTTGGAAATGATTTATTTTTTTTTTGTAAGAATGCCTCGTTACTTTTCTGACTTTTTAAAACTAGTTGTAGATCTTGGCTTCAGCACACAATGCTCCTCTCCCATTTGCCATCTATCTGCTGAACAAGTCTTTTGGACAATAAATTGTAATTGCAGCGGGCACATCAAACAGGAGGGGTCGAGGAAGACCACTGGGGTGGTTTGTTGGTGCACAGCGCCCTCTTCTGTTCTCAAACAGTGACCAAATTTTTAAAAAATGCTCCTTTTTTTTCTATGAAGTTTCTGGAAAACAGGAAAACGTTTGTGATATTTGGTGAAATCAAACAGGATCCTAAACACACTTAATTTAAGCACATTTTGGTTTTAAAGATTTTTTTTTTATATAGTTTTGGCTACACTGGGTCATAGCTAATGAAATGTTGTCTCTCACAGAGGAGCAGTTTAAAGTGGAGACGAGGACGATTGCTGTTGATTTTGGGAAAACTGACATTTATCCCAAGATTGAAGAAGGACTGCGGGGTCTGGAGATCGGGGTTTTGGGTAAGAGTTGATTTGTTGCTGCTTTTCCTCACTTCCTAATAACTGGACTTCAGACTCCTTTCTTTCATTTTTTTTCTATAAATCTAAGTAAAAATAAATGAATTAAAACATCATTTCGTGATGAGATATTCCATTGAGTGAAACAAAAGTTTAAGCTTTTACATGCAGCATCAAAGACCTTTTTATTTACCCTTTGTGTGGAGATATTCAGTTTCTTACAGGATCATTTGGCCTTAATGGAACTCATGACAAATATACATTTTTTTAAGCTCTCATTTAACTCATCTTGCAGTTTGTAAAAACTGTGTAGCTCTTGATGAGGAAAGTGCAGATTAAGGTGATTTTTTTAATTTTATATTATTTTTGTAATTTAATCTCACTTTGTGTTGGCTGTCATAGTTTACAGATGTGCAGAAGCTCTAGATGTTTGTCATCAGCAGAGGCTTGGACGCTGCCTCGAGTTGTACGTTTTGAGCAGAACATTTAAGGAACTCTTTGTTCTCTTTTTCTTTTTTTTTTTTTTCCTGATTCCAGTTGTGCTCTAATGGTTGCAAGGTGTGGCTGAGTCTTTAGTAACTGCATGTCTGTAGCTTGTTTGCTTTTGCTGCCACCTTGTGGTTGATGTTTTTGTGTGTTTTTTAAGCTAATATTTTATAATATCTTATGTTTTCTTTGCTTTCCACAGTTAACAATGTTGGCGTGTCTTATCCCTACCCTGAGTACTACCTTCACATCCCTGACCTGGAAAATGTGAGTGATTTGTTATATTTCTACATAAAAATCCTCAAGTTTTTTTAGGCTGAGGGTGTAATTTTGAATATGAAATTTAAAAAAAGCTGGTCTTTTTGTGTTTATCGGTGCATTTCTTCATCAGACTGATCTGTGTGTTTCAGTTCATCACAAACATGATCAACGTCAACATGACCTCACTGTGCCAGGTGAGCTTTCTGCTCATTTTCTCTGCCAAACCAGCTTCTGTTGGCACAACCCAAATGTTTGTTTGAAGCCAATCCGTGGAAGTCGTTTTCTCCTCTTTTTGTGTCCCCCCCCCCCCCCTTCTGTTGCTCCTGCCGTGGTACCTGCAGTGTCTCCGTTGTTCCCAAAGCAACGGTGGACTACACCAACGCTGTCTGTACTCGCCACCCACGCAACTCTTTCTCTCTGCTGCTTTCTGCCCGTCTCTCTCTCTCTTTAGCCCTTCTACTTTTAGCTCCCCCCCCCCCTCTTGTTTCCATCATCACCTTGTTTTTCTGGTCTTGAGTTATTTATGCAATGTTTGTTAATGTGATGTTTATGTGTTTTCTTTTGAAGATGACCCGTCTTGTGCTGCCCAGAATGGTTGACAGGTGAGTTTAAATGACTGCAGTCGAGCATCACTTTGGTGAATGATGACACTCAAACGGAGAGGGGGCGGGCGACCCCTCTTATATTCAAGGAATCATTTTTCTGAGGGGAAATGCTGCTTTGTAATAGTTGACGCTTCTCATTGGGGAAGCAGCAGGAGAAATCCTCACCGAGCTCGTTTCCAGCGCTGCATCTTCTTCTACTGCTCCCTTTGTTCGCAATGCTGACAAGCTTTCAATTCACACAAAGTGCTCTTCCCTCGCCATTGGCTGCTCTTCTCCCATGTGACTCCTGCCAGCCAATAGCTGCCCGGGCACATTTGGTGCCATGTGAGGCTGGAGCGTCTTCACTACATCACTGCAGCAACAGGCTGCCATGGCAACGTACACGACCACTACCATAATGTTTTTTTTATTTTGTGTGTGTGTGTGTGTGTGACCGAAATACCACTCTGTGTGAATTTGTCAGCATGCTTAATGTTTATAGATATAAAGTTTTTTTTATTATTAATCAGGAATTAGACAGATTTTTAAAGCTTTTCTGTCCTCTTGAGTGTTTTAAGGTCACAAAATAAGTTTTTAACTGTTTTTCTTTCCTGTTTTTTTGTTTTCTTCAGGTCTAAAGGCGTCATCCTCAACATCTCCTCTGCTAGCGGCATGTACCCCCTCCCTCTGCTCACACTCTACTCTGCAACTAAGGTTTGTGCTTTTAATTCATTCTAATACCACAAATCCAGTGGTGGGCACAGTTCCCCTAAAGCTCTAATAGGGGAACTAACTTCCTGATCAGTGCTTTAGGGTTTTTGCTAATTTTAAAATTTTACTGGATTAGCTGGATTAGCACTTGCTAAATTTAGGAGCACAAACTGAGGTCTAAATGTTATTGAGCAACATTAATGTTAACAGCTGATGGTGGAAGCTGTCGCACATTTTATTCAAATGTGTGTCACTTATCCACCAGGTGACAATGAACCCAAATACAGCTGTGGGATGTCAATGATGAGGTTTAAGAGAGCAACATGGCAATATGTGACTCATGTTGTCAAAGAGTTTTCATGGGTTGACTGGGTTATTTTAGTGGTTTAGGGTTAGCTTTTGATAAAACTTTCAGTGCGTTTGTGCTTAAGTATTAGGAGACCTAAATATTTGAGTTAGTGCTTTAGGGCTAGTGGAACTAATCTTTAGATTAGTGCTTCCCACCACTACACAAATCCATCTAGAAACAGATCTTCACACAAGGCCTTAAAGGATTACATATCACCTGCCATCTTGTGCCAAAGTTTGAAACTAATATCTCGTGATTTGTTGCGGTATGTGTAGAGGATGGCAGCTTCATGTTAAAATTTAGCTCATTGTTTTTAAGTTTACTGAATTTCACCATTTTTGTGCTTTCTTGGATTAATTAGCTGTGACGGTCATCTTTAAATGAGGTTGACCATTTCTAAAACTGTTCATCCATTGATGACTTTCTGAGAGTTTTGTTAAAGTTTTGGACATTGAGATATTTTGCTAACAGACTGACAAAGGCACGTTATTTATTTATAATTCATTATTTATTATACCTGTCGTGGTGGTGTAAATAAATTAGTATTCTGTCGACACATTTTTATGTTTTTTTTTAATTCCTTCAACCCATTCATTTGAAAGAAATTAAACGGAGAAGTCTGACCAGGTTTTGTCCTTTTTGTCTGCAGGCCTTTATAGATTTCTTCTCTCGTGGCCTCCAGGAGGAGTACAGGCGTCAGGGCATCATCATCCAGGTGAGATTAAAGGTTTAATCTGATTGTGAAGATGACTTTTTTTTCTTAAATGGTGTGTATTGAGTTGTTGAGCCTGTTTACATTTTAAATGTTAAGGTTTTCCATGAGGTAGCTTTGAAGTCCTTTTTGCTTCTATAGTGTAGAAACAACCACAGATTTTTACCTCCTTTTATCAGTTTTGTAATCTCCCAGAATATTACAATCAAAGGTATAAAGATCTAATTTAATATAATTTAATTTTACCCTTTTGAGTTGAAACAGTATTCAGACTGAAATTATTTTGTGGACTACTAGTTTGAAGTAGAGGCACTTTAAAGTTTAAATCAGCTCAGGCTGATCTGAATAAGAAAGCCACTCTTGTGCCACCTTGTGGTTGAAGTGTGTAACTGACTTGTTTCTTTTTCTCCTGATGACAAATGAGTTTACAGCAAATATATGAAGTATTTAGAGTTTTTTTTTTTTTTTTGTTAAAGCTAATGTAACCTGTTTACATTTTCTCTACACAGAGTGTTTTGCCCTTCTTTGTTGCCACCAAAATGACCCGCATCAGGAAGCCCACTCTGGATAAGCCCACCCCAGAGCGCTATGTGGCAGCTGAGCTCAGCACTGTGGGTCTGCAGTCTCAGACCAACGGCTACTTCCCCCACGCCGTCATGGTAAGAGACACCTTTTGGTCCTCAGCAGATAAACTTGGAAACTGCACTGAATTAAATATTTTACAGTAACACTGTTAACTGGAGGACAGATCTGCTGTTCTGAAGTTGGTTTCTGTAAAATAAAATAAAATAAAACTGAACAATTATTATCTCACAATTTTGAGAATTATCCATAAGTATCGGATCATATTTTTGCAAAAGTGTGCAGCAGCTAGCTGTAGCACTTACTGTACTGCCTGCCAGTACCTGAGGGGGACCAGAAGCTCAAAATAAGTGTCTAAAAGTGCACAACACACTCAGCTCTACTGCTCATCCCACAAATGCATGTTCCTTACAAATGTGGCACCATTTAAAAGGGAAATTAACAGGCTTTCAAATGGTATGATTTATTGCCAAGAAGCATTGTTAAAAAATTAGCTGACTTAACTTTTTAGTCTTTACCAAAAACAAAAGATTTCTAATAAAATGTGTTTTGAGTAAAAAAAAAAAAAGTTGCCATGGCAGATATAAAAAGGTGTAACTGAATGCTTCTCATCTCAACACTTATATTATTAAACTGATAAACAAGTGTCAATATTTCTGCCTTAAATGAATTTTTAGTCATTTTGAAGTGATCTATCACTTTATCTCATAGACAGGACTTCACTCATACATGAAGTATGAGGTAAAAATCTTTGTATGACTGTTTCCGTTTATTGCTGCTGTCTCTAAAGAACATCTGGGTCACTCGGTGATTGTGTGCTGAGGATGTTGAGCTATCAGCCCTCTTAGCTGTCCATTTCTCCAACTACAAAAATAAGCGTCCTGATGCATCTCAGTAATCCAGGTAAAAAAATCAAAAAGAAAAAAATTGTATAGGTCTTCTGGACGGGTTCTTCTCTAATGAAACGTTTCGTCTCTTCTCCAAGAGACTTCTTCAGTCTGAGAGTTTCAGGCAAAATTCAGGCTTATAAGCCCTGCCTCCATGTGACTGATACTCACATCACATGKCTATCGTTGACACCTAAGTAACACTTATTACACACAGTCTGCTTATACAAAAATAAGCAGACTGTCTTTTTAAGATGGTGACAGAATATATTTGTAAAAGTTGACAGATCGCATCAGAGACATGATGGCGCTGGTCTTTTGTCAGAGCTGGAGGTGCAGTTTGATCTGGCACCAGAATGAGATCAGACACATACTTATGACATGAAAACCCTGCTGCCGTGAAGATCCTAACTTTTTATCTTCATCACAAAACAATGTTTGTAAATTCCTCGCGTAAGTACTTACCCTGGACCTTTTCCTTGCCTGCAGGGCTGGGTGACCACCAGGCTGGTACCGACCAGCATTGTCATCTTCCTGGGGGCCAGGATGAACCGCCTGCAGCGCACGGGCTACCTGAACCGGAGGAAGATGCGGCAACAGAAGAACGGCGGCGCGAGCCTAAAGAGCGAATAGGGAGACGAGTCCGGCAGCCACTCCTTTCGGACCACTTTCGATGTTTGAGGATTAAAGGCTCAATCCCCCGAAGCTGCCAGAGATTTGACCACGTTTTGTGCCTTTTTTTTTTTTTTTTTTTTGGTCGAAGCGCACATCCGAACACGTGTGACCTTGTGTTTGAAACTTCTGCCCTGATTTTTGTCTGAGAAGAAAACAGCCAAAGAAGTAAAAGGGGAAAAAATTATATAAAAAATTGTACTGCTTTAAAAACTTTTGCTCGTGGCAAACAAACCTAAACGTGTTTTTTGTCACGGACATTCATGATGGGAACAATACAGCAAAACAAGTGACGTGTTCTCCTGCTGTTGTAAGCAGTGGAAAATGGTGACGGTTATCTTTTTATATTTATATGTGTATTGTTATTTAAATTTGTATAAAAATGTGTGCCAAATCCAGAACTTTAAAACCTAGCTTAGAACCTAATTCTGTTTGATCTTTAAAATGGCAAAATCTGCTTTTTTATTACGTCAGTTTGTCTGCTTCACTTATCTTTCACTGTTTTTCTTTTATAAATCTGCATTTTTTTTCTTTTATTTTCTTGCATGTCTGTTTTAAATTGTCACATTGGGGTGGGTTCACCTTCTCACGTTGTTCTAAGCCAAAGTTTGTTCAAACTCTACAGTGCCTTCCTCTTAAACTCTTTGACTATTAATTGTTTTATTTTTTGTGACAGAACCTGGTGGACTAGTTTCTTCCTCCTAATCACAATTTTGTCTTTTCTCCCGTTTTGGACAACAGAACACATGAGAAGCAAAGATTCCTCTAATTTTAGCATAAAGGTTGTAGTAAAACATCACTGACTGTGCTTCAGATTTAGGAAGATTAGTTCACATATCAGCAAATCGTTACTGTAGTTTTTGTAGCTTTTTAACTTGTTTCAGTACAGCACCCATATAATGTGGTTTGACTCAAGTTTTGTTAAGAGTTTTTTTATTGCTTGGAAATGTAAAATTGCTGCATCTGTTTGGATTGTGAAAACTTCTATTGTTTGTTAATAAAAGCTTTGGCAGAAAAGTTGTGTTCTGCTTTGCATCACATCAATATTCAGGCTTTCTTTAAATATATATTTTTAGTTGGTTTCATGCACACATCTGCTGTTTAAGACTTCCATAGGTGAAGATGTTTCACTTCATTCAGGGAGCATTCAATATATTTTGATTCAAATCTGGAGTGTGTGAATGTCCAATCTTCAAGCGGTATGAACTGCTCTGTTCAGCTGGAGTCAGATGCAGGTTAAACTTTCTGCCCTCTGCAGAGTTATTGGTGTCTGTTAGCCTGGCTCACATGAGATGTTTTGATCACATACATGAAGACCTGAATTTACTTTTCTCTGCTACTTGTCTGCATGTGTAAAATCAGGCACCGAGCCCCAAATGCATTCATAAATATTCCCAATATTTAAGGTTGACGTTCAACTTTTGTTCCTTTGTTTTGTTTTCTATTTACTTTTATGTACAATCATTCTTATAAAATTAATGTTTTGGTTTACACGATTGCAAATGTCCTCAACATATACTGTTGCTGGGTTTCAGAGACTGCAGTGCACAGATGAACATGGATATGAACCATAAATTGGCATGAATATACCCTGACCACAATGCATCACAAATGACTGATAAGTAAAAAGGTCAGCAGGACAGGGACTGGGTATCAGGCTCACTGTTTCATTATAAGCTTTTGAAAGCTAAAAGCTGGGTCCTCTTATTCAAAGTTTATTTCTTATTTGACACATCCTGGTTAATGACAAATCTTCACCAGCCTCTGTTATCATAACTGAACAATCTACTCCACTGACAGTCATAAAAAATACATTTCAGTTTGAATATTTTTATACCTATACTATACTATACTATACTATACTATACTGTACTTATACTATACTTATACTATATTTGTTCTGAAAGAGATATGCAAAAAATGTTTAAAAGTAGTGATCATGTTCAGGTGCCTGCAGTAAATAGTTGTCATTAATGAGGTTTGTAGTAATGTCAACTTTTAATTGAGTTAAAATCCAAGCAACACATTTGAAATTACAGGCCGTCATCATACAAAAAGGTGGGTTTTAGAGCACCTAAACCTGTTTTAGTTTTCCTAGTTGCAAACAAGACTTCTTGCTTTAACTAAAACAAATCAAAGCACTGTGTGGAGTTTGTGAGACAAAATCTTTAAAATGCTTTATGTGCCAAAATTATCCAAGTTTGACCAAAGCATACCAGACATCGAC